CCAAATAGGAGCAATAATATTTTTTACTCTTATAGAGATGCTATAAAGAACATTGGTTAATCTATAGTTTGAATAGTTTATAAGACTGGTTATGAAGGAAGATACTAGCTCTCAATCTAGAGTTCCCTCTTCTCCCTCCACTTACTCCCCTCTTCTCCCTCCACTTAAGGGCTAACATCTCGTATCAAAACCTAAAACTATAAATCAAATTAGGGGCTTTAGCCTGACACTCTAAAGTCCTCTAATTCTAGACTCATGAAAGGTTATTTCCCTATTTATTTGCTCTCAACCCCATGAACTACATTCTCATCCATTCTTACCATTTTTTGACTGATATAATACCATCTCGGATCTTACATGTTCTCACAACATGTATTAACATCTTAATTGGCCAAATCAAGTACTAAATGAAGTACAAGGTTTCAAATCATCACAAATTCTTCCAACATTGAATTCTAATACTTCACACAACTTCCTTTCAATACTTAATTACTTATCATTTTAAGGAAAGAGATAAGGAAAACTACTCAGAATCCATGGAGAAAACACAAACACACTTAAGTTTAAAGGTAGAATTCATGCACACAAACAATAAATCCAAATTAAAACCAAATGCAGTCATAAAGATAAACATTTATCTCAAATTCTCTCCACAAAATGTCTTGAAGTTCCTTTGAATTCTCTCCCATCACTCACAGTACAAACTAAAACTCAAAATAAAAAGATAAGTGGCCAGCGACGGCGACAGTTACTTGAATGGATGATGGTTGTTGGTTGGGATTGGCTGGCTCTCCCCTTTGATGATCCAAGCCTTTTTTTATAAAAATTCAAAAGGTGTCTTGGTGTTTCTTCAAAATGTGTCTCAATTCAATGAATCTTCTAGAAGTTGCCTCCTTTCTGAAGCCAATTGAATGAACTTTCGTGTCCATGGGCTATTTCCCACATTTTTACTAAGAGTTGCTTCAAACACCTCTTCAAAAATTTGTTTAAATTCAATGAATCATCAAATAACTTCTTTTGGCGCTTAAGCGCGGGGTACCTGACGCTCAGGCGCAGCTCTCTCAGTTAACTGGCGTGCAAGTGCCAATTTTGGGCACTTAGGCACCTTAGTTCATTTTTTTTCACCTTCTTCATTTTTGCTCCAAATTTGATCCTTTTTCACTCATTTTATCATTTTTCATCCATTCGCTTGTACCTGCAGGAAAACACACAAATATCTTTCATTAAAGCGTAAAATCTCAAAAATAGACATAAAAATGTGTATAAAAATTCTATATACTTTAGGTTTATGAGGTGTCTTGAGCTATCAGATGCTACAAAGAAGTCATAGACAATCTTAAGTCATGCAATTGGACAACTTACACTTGTAACATCAAAAATTGATGTCAGCACTTCATTAATTAAATGAGCTTGATTCATTAATTAATTGAGTTTAAGTCATTAATGGAATGAGATTAATCATTTAATTAAACGAGAATATTTAATAAATATTAATTAATTAATTAAATGAGGTTAATTAACTAATTAAAAGAGATTAATTGACTAATTAAATGAACTTAGCTAATTAACTAAATAAGATTAATCAACTAATAAGATAAAGTTAGTTAATTAATTAATTGAGATTAGTTATTAAAAGTAATTATTTAAGATTAGAATGAAGAAATTAAGCTCTTTATGTTAATGAAGTTAACTCATTCATTCAAATGAGTCTAACTCATTAATCATACTCAAATATAATTTTTCATGCATAAAAATATGCATATGCTAGGACTATAATTGCCAAACATCCAAATGTAACACTTTCATGAATTTATGTAAGAAATTACATGAGAATATCATATGCATATGCAAACGAACTATGCTTGGACACTCATTTAATTCATCATAATATCAAACATTTTATTGCCTAACATTTTCACATAGGATCTAGGTTTCCAAATTCATGGAGAGGTATTCCTTGTTGTGCGAGACAACAAGACGTATACATCCATTTGTTTGGTCAATTGAAATAAGTTATCTTGAAGAGAATTCTTCAATAGCTAGAGAATGAAGATGAATGATTCTTCATTCCCTATTGATTTTAGCTTCAAATTTCCATTTAAATGAAGCTAGCAATTACCAAATGGCGACATTAATATCATATCGACTTAAAGCTAGGTTAGGGCTAAGGGTTTTTGGAGAAATCTCAAGGCATTGTAGGGAATAAGAAAAAAAGCCCCCTATCCTAAGGCTTTACTCTAACCCCAGCTTAAGCTATCATCTCTAACATCAGCTTGAAGGTTTCCTAGGAAATAAAATGATGTTAGGAGAATCTCACCAACACAAAGTTTGTGGATGTGTTCTCTTTATCCTAGCTCTTTCTGATGCAAAAGATGATCTCTCCTTCTTCAAATATCCTCTTCTAAAAAAGCCCTCTCACACTCATCTTGAAGACTAGTGGAGAAGATATGGAAGAAGAAAGTGAAGAAGAAGAAGAAGAAGAAGAAAAAGAAAGGAAGCTTTCCTTATTCTCCTTTGCTCTCCAAGAAAACTTAGTCTCAATTTTCTCCAATTGAAAATATTGCCAAAAATGATTTACAAATGTGATAATAGTCGTTTTTTATAAGGAGTTGGCCATGCAAAAGCAATTAAGTCCATAGCCCTCATGTAGCCAACTCACTTTTTTTTTGTGTCATGAGATTGAGACACTTCACCATGCTTGGACACCTCATAAAAGGCTTTAGATAATGTCATTTCTTTTTGTTAATTTGTATGATCCAAAACCAATTCTATGCCAAAAAAAAACAAGTGGTTGTGTATAAGTGCATGCAGCTTTTTGCATACGCACACAGGCAAGCACACACACGGATGCTCGGATGCACAAACGTGAGCATCTATATGCGTGCACGTGCACGTGCACGTACGCGCAAGCACATGTGTGCATCTGTTTGTGAGTGAGGAGGTCCTCTATGGATTTTGTTAACTTGGTAAGCCATAAATTAATGCAAAAAGACCCCCCAAACATAAAATTTAATATCAATCATGTCTCAAATTAAAATTATTGCCAATCAATGATGACCACACTCGAGCACAGCCAGACCAATGTCAAGCCCTAGAGTACAATTTAAGGACAACCAAGTCTGGACGTGGTGAAACTGATTCAACCCTGGTTTTGTGCTGGAAACACATACCGAGGAGTCTAAGTGGATGTCTTGAGTAAGGAAAGACTAAGTATGAATACCAAATATTTCCTGTCATTCAAGTGGACATCCTACACATGTAACATCAAACAATGATGTCAGCAGAGTGTTTGATACCAAATGCAAAATTGTTAAATGTGGTCAAATTCTAATGTTTTTTTTTTAATTTTTTGCCAAAGTTTGATAGCCACGAAATTTTAATGGATTCACACTTAATATTCAAAATTGATAGCTAGATGGTCAATTAAAATTATTTCTCCTATAAATATACCCCTCCACCTTAGCCTATAAAATGAGAGTAAAGCAAAGGGTGAATCCCTTTCTTCTAATTTAGCCTATAAAATGAGAGTAAAGCAAAGGGTGAATTGTCCCTTTCTTCTAAGCTACTTGTAAAAGAGAAATATAATGAGATCCTCTAGTGCGGCCATGAACATAGACATCATAACCACATAAATCTTCTTATTTTCTTTGTATGTAGGACTGTGTTTCTAATTGTCACTTTTTTCTCTTTTTTTTTTAATATCTCCTAACACTTTTTGCCAATGCTCATCACGTTTATGGTCGTAAATTTTTTTTTGAAAAATTAACATACATACCACATAATTCTCATGCTCTTACATATCTAAAACCTAAATTTTGATTTGGCATCCATAACACTTTGCCTATACTTAAGCATATATTATTCACATTTCAAAATTAATAATGAGGATACTTTTATATGATATGAAAATTTTGAGCGTTATAAAAATAAAAATCAATTTTTGTACTAGACATATAAATAAATGAGAATTATGTTTTATGTATGTAAATGCCACTTTCTTTTAACACATTCCCTTCCTAAGATAACTACCTCCAAGATGGTGAGTTGTCCAAAGCTTTGGGAGGTCGTATCCCATCATAGATCATCATGACATTTTAGATAGAATAACTCATATATCGTGATTGATAACTCAGTTTTAACATACATTAATGACAATAATAGACCCTAGGCTTGAAGCACTTGAGATATATGATTGAAAGTTCTTAAAAATAAAATTCATGAAAGTAAAGCACGCATGATATAAATAGGGCATTTACATACCAACTATGTTACTCCGATACGGATATGAGAACACAAATATGAGACACTTTCATCTTATAAATAGGGCATTTACATACCAACTATGTTACTCATTAAATATGAGACACTTTCATCATTAAAAATATAAAACGTAAACACATCTAACACACCATCAAAACAATAAAAAGGACCATAAAAAAATTAATAATGTTAACTTTTATGTAACATTGGCGTTCGATTTGATGATAAAATGTATATAATCCTAAACAAAGAATAAATTATTTTTTTTAATTTTACATAAGATATATATATTTATATATATTATGTAAGAAAGATTCTTACTAAAAAAAGGATTGCATGTCCCTTCTTTTAATATTATTTAAATCAAACAAATTGGGGACGTGTTTAACGCGTGTCTAGAGCGTGTTTGACATTGCACGGTTCCTTAATCAGGAGTGTTCATGGCACGTCGCATACAAATCACTCAAGCTCATGTACTCTAACACCAAAATTTTACTTTTTACATTTATATCATCCAAATCTTTCATATCACAAAAAATACCACTATCTTAACTTTTAAAAGTGAAATTTACTTTTTCACACACAAATAAGATGGCATTAATGTAAAAATTGAAGTTTAGGTGTTAGAAATGTAAATACATTGGAATTAAATGGTCTGTTTGTAAAGTTGAAGCCAAAGAGAAATATAAGTAACTCCCCAGTACATTCTTTACCGTTCAATGCATCAATAGAGCAAGGCGTGGAGGTCAACCCACTAAATTTAATTAGTGCAAAAATAAAAATGTTATTTCGTTCTCCTACTTAAGCAGTTGTTGCAGCAGGATAATGGGTTTGCTCAGCGAAAACTCCCATAAAAATCTCATAAGAACTACACAAATCTAAAGACGCTCATAAAATTGAAAACCATCTCAGAATTTCACTTCAACTTGGATTTTGTTGAGCTCTTCAAAGGCTTCGCAATGGGCTGAGCATTAGAACTTCTGCTTGCTTTCCTGGCAGTGGACTTCACCGAACACACAGCACATATGAGTGCCACCACCATTGTTGGGTAAACATAAACTCTTTTTTCGGGATCAGTTGTAGCAGGTTTTCCTAACATACCTTCCTTCACCAAGCCCCAAACCAGCAGAAGAGTACCAAACATACTCATCCTCCCTGGATTCAAAATGCCAATCAGACTGCCGGCGACGGCAAAATAGCTTCCCGCAAGCACCTGAGCTTTTCACACAAAGGTAGAAAGTTACAAGATGAAATGGTGATGGCAAAAATTGACCCGACACGTTAGCTAGCACCAAACCTGATTTGAAAAATTCGCGTATGGGTTGATCCCAATACTTTTTGGGTAGGATTTGAGTAAATAATCCTAACTCGTTTAATTTTTCAGATCGGTTCAGGTTAACCAGACAACCCAAAATGGACCCGCATCGAACCATGAATAGATATTACGTCTTACACTAACAGGTTATATGGGTATAGTTTGGGCCAGCAGGTTGAAGGTAGGTTGTGTTCAGGTTGGACTTTCTGACAATTAATATTTTGGGTCCGACTTGGTTAGACCCGAACCAAACCCGATTTAACAAACCTAAAAGATGAAACTGATAAAAAGTGGGGATGTGAAAAAATAAGACCTCTAGGCGCTGAAGATCAACCACCGCCGATGCATTGTTGATATTAATAAGGTTGTATATGTGGAGGATATTGTCCCAGCTTGGCAATGACATGTTGGTATAAATGCAATTTACAATTGCACCTGGGTAGAGGAGAGCCTTCACTACTGGTTGCGGAAACACGTGGTTTGCGACTAACTGCGATGCCGTCACCTGTATCGGCGTCGTGCACATTCCCGACCGGCATTGGATCCTGATACAAGATGAATTATGATTGAGAAAAAAGATAGGAGAATTGATGTTCTGCCGCAAAGGAGATGAAAAGGAATTCACCGAGTTAACGGGAAGTGTCTAATGCCCGCAGCAATGTACCAGGACAAAGATGGTTAGTAGGGCTCTCTGTTTCAATGTGAAATAGAGCTCCAGAAATTTTTGGTAATTCATTTTTGGAAGATTTACATCAGATGGCAAAAATTGACCCGACACGTTAGCTAGCACCCAACCTGATTTGAAAAATTCACGTATGGGTTGATCCCAATACTTATTGGGTAGGATTCGAGTAAATAATCCTAACTCGTTTAATTCTTCAGATCGGTTCAGGTTAACCAAACAACCCCAAATGGACCCACATCGAACCAAGAATAGATATTACGTCTTACACTAAACAGGTTATATAGGTATAGTTTGGGCCAGCAGGTTGAAGGTAGGTTGTGTTCAGGTTGGACTTTCTGACAATTAATATTTTGGGTCCGACTTGGTTAGACCCGAACCAAACCCGATTTAACAACCTAAAAGATGAGGCTGATAAAAATTCGAGCTGTGAAAAAATAAGACCTCTAGGCGCTGAAGATCAACCACCGCCGATGCATTGTTGATATTAATAAGGTTGTATATGTGGAGGATATTGTCCCAGCTTGGCAATGACATGTTGGTATAAATGCAATTTACAATTGCACCTGGGTAGAGGAGAGCCTTCACTACTGGTTGCGGAAACACGTGGTTTGCGACTAACTGCGATGCCGTCACCTGTATCGGCGTCGTGCACATTCCCGACCGGCATTGGATCCTGATACAAGATGAATTATGATTGAGAAAAAAGATAGGAGAATTGATGTTCTGCCGCAAAGGAGATGAAAAGGAATTCACCGAGTTAACGGAAAGTGTCTAATGCCCGCAGCAATGTACCAGGACAAAGATGGTTAGTAGGGCTCTCTGTTTCAATGTGAAATAGAGCTCCAGAAATTTTTGGTAATTCATTTTTGGAACATTTACATCAATACCACTCCATTCCTATGCATTTGCATATCTAACAACTAAACTTCAATTTTGCATACATAAGCACCTTACCTGAGCATGAATGGTGCTTATAACGTTTTAAGAGTTCAAATGGTGGTCTTTTTTATGTGATATGTAAGATTTGAATGTTATAAATGTAAAAAAAGCAAAGTTTAAGGGTTAGATATGTAAATAAATATGAATTGGATGCTATGCATTTAATGCCCCATATATTTAAATCACTTGGGAAATTTAGCCAGATGTTGCCTAAACATTGCAGAATATATAGAGTTTCTATGGAACCATTAAAAAACTACTTCTTGCTAGCTTAAGAAAATAAATTTGGCAGGTACAAACTTCCAATGAAAATGTACATTTTAAATAATTTGGGTGACAGAATGGCAGAATAGTTTGCTGTGCAAAATTTGAAAAAAAAAAAGGAACAGCACTGTAGTAGTAGACCACGAAATATTTCAATACGCGTACTAGAAAGCTATGAAATTAGAAAAAATTACAAGTATAAGATCCACATAATCAAGAATATACATATCTATATCTATATCTATTTCTATATATTGATGGAATTTTAGGAAATTGTTGTTTTAATATATTTTATTTTCTATTTTTAGAATATAGCATTATTGGTATGTCATGATTCATATTTCGTTCTTTTATCATGGGCAGTTATAGCTGATTTTATCATGTTCCTAATCTAGGAACATCCCCCTCTATTTATGTTGTAATCATTTTTTATGAAATAAAATGAGGAATAATTATTTTTCTCCAAAATATTACATGGAATAAGAGTCCACCTTTGCCTTCGCACAAACACATAAACCCGTCGAGAGATGCTCCGCAGATTCTGTGCCCCTTCCAATTGCAATACAGTCACTATTAGAGTTGGCTGGGAAGACAACGGCAGTATTGCGGTAAACCCCTCGTGATACAATCACGATTAGAGCTCGTTAGGAAAGCATCGATGGGATCGCGACAAATCCCTCGTAATAAAGTCGACATTAGAGCTCATTGGGAAAACAACACGTGAAAAAAATGACTGGAGCGCGAAAAACCCCTCGCGATACAGTTGTGATTAGAGCTAGTTGGGAAGCCAAAGGTTGGATCGCGGCGTTCGGAAACCCAACATCTCTTTCCTCTAGCGTTGAAACTGTGCAAGTCGAGCTCTCGGTGACACGCTTCACTCCGACAGGAATTTTTTTCCGCCACCTCCACTTCATTATCTCTCTCATTCATCATATTTTGTTATTTAGCAGCGCGCTTCTAGGCATGCTTTTTTTACGATGGTCTCTTCTCAATCATCAGCGCAATTGGAATATGCAATTTGAGAAGCATGAGACTTGTTCTTATTTCCATTCCTCATCTTGTTTTCACAGAGAAGGCTTCCATTCTCGAATACCGTGAACCAAAGAACTGAACTTGAATCTAAAGTAGGTCTATTAAATACTCAATTTGTTTCAACCCCTTTTGCTTGTTCTCCGTCGAAGCTACCTCTATCAAATTCACCTCTACTCACCTTTAAGCACCGAAATAATTCGCGGCCGAAGTCTTCCCTCCTTCAATGATGTCATACAAGTCAGCGATGAACAACGCGAATAGAAATTCTACCATTTATACTGGTTCCAGCAATTGCAAAATCAATTTTCCCTACTCATGATGGTGCTAGTATTGCAAATAATTATGACATATGAAAAAGGTATGTTGGAAGCTTAATCGCAAACCCATAAATTGGAAATTAAAATCTAAACATGAAGGTCAGGCCTACTAAGCCACTACTAATGAAGCTCAAAACTCTTCTACCAACTCAAATGTAATTCCTTTCACAATTAGAGCACCTGCACAAGTTGTTTTAATCTCAAATTTTCAATGCATCGTCTTGCTCTTCAGTACAGAAGGATAACTCTCTAGCTATCACATTATTAGGTGTTAACCCATATTTTATTCATTCTTGGTTATTTGATTATGTACAACTGATCATATGACTAATTATTTAAAATTATCCTCATCTTATAAACCTTCTACAAGCAACAAAATGGTCAAAATTACCGATAGTTCTCTCTCAATAATTGTTGGGATAGGAACACTCAAACTCATCTAATTGTTAACCCTTCTAGACGTGCTCCATTTAGCGAGTTTATCTTGTAATCTATTATCTATTAGCAAAATTAGTTCTAATTATCAGTGTCAAGTTAATTTCTACTCTTCATGTTATGAGTTTCAAAAATTAACCATTAGGACGATGATTTTCGGTGCTAAGGAAAATGATTGAATCTATTACTTTGACAATGGACTTAGATACAAACAGACAATGTTAAATTACCTGTTTAAATTCTTGTTTTATTTTCAAAGACAATGATATTATGTTATGACATTATAGGTTAGATCATCCTAGTTTCCATCACTTAAAATTCTTTTTTCCAGTTTATTTCAAAATAAAAATGTCATCTTTCCAATATAAAATTTATCAGTTTGCCAAAGATCATCATGCGTCTTTTTCTCCCTAAATTTACAAACCAACATATTTTACTCTGATTCATAGTAATATTCCGGATTTTTGTAAACATCTTACACACTCTTAAAAAAAATAATTTATTACATTTACTAATGTTTACACAAGTTTAAATTTGGTGTATTTAATGAATGAAAAATTTTGAAGTGAAAATTTTTTTCAAAAAGTTATAAACCATGGTACAAACACATTTTTAAAAAAACTATTCAAATATTACGGAATAATAATGACAGAGTATTTTAAAAAATAATTTTAGACAATTTTTTTTCCAAAAAAAGTAGTACATCAAAACTCTTATATCAACACCCCACAACAAAATGATGTTACTAAAAGAAAAATAAACACTTTATTGGAAGTTAGCTCAAATATTATTATTTATAAATCAGATGTCAAAATATCTTTGGAGTAAAATCGTTCTTACTGCTATATTTCCTATTAAAAGAACACCCTATAAAGTTTTGATCTTCGAAAAGCTTTTGATGTTTTTAATAAAATTTATCCAACAAATCAATTTTCATCTTCTTTACCTTAAAAGAAATTTAGGTGTACTGCATTTGTTCACATCTAAAGTCATAATCAAGGAAAAAAAACATGTGTTTGTTAATTATGTTCTCACTAAAAAGAGATAAAAATATTTTGATCATATTTATAATAAAATGTGTCCCCATGGATGTCACCCTTTTTAAATTATAATCTTTATTATCTCATTTTCAAAGGGGAGAGGGACAAAACAAAGATTTGACTACTATTTATCCGGTCTTTTCTGAAACCGTAGACTCAAGAAATTATATCTCTCCAACCTTGATTGTTCAACATAAAAATCCTAAGTTATATTATATAACAAAAAAACGAGTCGAGTTTTTTAAACACTGAAGACGATTAAGATGTTCTCACAATGCCATCTTATGATATTCATAATCTTATAACTAATAAAAAGGAATCAGAAAAAACAACTATGACATAAGTAAAATTTAACATTGTTTACTCGCGACAAAGAACAACTCAAAGGAAAGAGTCTATGAATCATTTACATTGCCCAGAATACATGTATCCTTTAGGTAAAATCCTCACTGAGCCTTTAACTCATGATCATTCCACTTCATCATCGAGTTCTTAGTCTTCTAGTCCTAAACCCAAGTCCAGCCCTGATCTTAAATCTAAGGATTACATTCATTCAATTGTTGCTTATATAGAGGGAAAGTCATGCACATAACATCTATTGTCTCATTAAGTGTCACATGTACATAATTATCTTATATGGAGATTTCTAATACTGTGCAGAATGCTCTGAAAATTCCTAAGAGAAAGGAGACCGTCTTCGAGGAGATGAAAGCTTTACAAAAAATAACATGTGGGAATTGGTTGATCTTACATAGAAGGAAGAAAATTGTTGAATACAAAGGAGTTTTTACAGTCTATTATAATTTTGATGACTCTCTAGAACGGTACAAAACTAGACTGGTTACCAAGAGATTCGCTCAGACTTATGACATTGATTATTTAAAGATATTCACCCCATTGTCGAAAAATTAAACTCTATAAGAGTTTTTCTAGCACTTGCAGCTAATCTTGACTAATACCTACAATAATTGGATATAAAGAATGAACTTCTCAATGGAGACTTAGAGAGAAAGTGAACATAGATGCACCTCCAGAATTTGGTGAGGAACTCGGTACAAAGGCGTGTAAACTAAAAAAAATTCTAAAACGTGTTGAAGTAGTCACCTAGAGCGTGGTTTCAAAATTTTTCACCGTTTGTTAAAGGTTAGAGGAATCAATATGATTATCTTCACATATTTTGAATGTCTGAAGATGATGTATATGAAACGAACCAATTGAAGACTTCCCCCTTTTATCAGTTTTTTAGACCAAGGACTTAGAATTTCTAATATATTTCCTTTGCACGGAGGTTGCTAAATCAAAGAAATGGATTATTGTTTCTCAACGGAAGTTCATTCTTGATCTTCTAAAGAAAATTGGGATGAATGGTTCTAGTCCTGTAGACACTCTAGTTGATCACAATCAAAAACTAGGAGATGAGAAGAAAAATAACTTAATGAATACAACTAGATGCCAAAAGTTGGTAGACAAGTTAGTATACTAATCATATACATGGTCAGATATCGCCTTTGTTGTAAGCTTCATAACTCAATTTATGCATACACCCTCTAAAAAATAGCTTAAAGCAGTTAACAAGATTCTCTAATACCTACAAAATATACCAGGTAAGGGATTTTTTTTTTCAGATGACCGCGCAATAGAACATAGAGGCATACACCGATATAGATTAGATAGGCTCAATTGTTGATAGGAGATTGACATCTGGATACTGTACTTTTGTCTGCGAAAACCAAGTTACGAGACGAAGTAAGAAACAAAATGTGGAAGCAAGGAATAGTGCCGAGGCAGAATATCGAGCAATGGCTAAGGGAGTATGAGAGATGTTACAGTTGAAGAGATTTCTTGCAGAAATATGAACCCTAATAAACATGCAAATGAAGTTGTATTGTGCCAATTAAGTTGTTATAAGCATTACAGAAAATACAGTCCAACATGAACTCACAAAACATGTGGAGATTGATGGCATTTCATAAAAGAGAAGACTAGCATTTGAGTAATTTGCATGCCGAAGGACTTTTCAGGCATTGTTTTGAGTTCCTTGTAAGCAAGTTGGGCATGATAGATATCTATGCTTCAACTTTATTGGGGGGGTTCGAATTTTAAGAAATTCTTATTTTAGTATATTAGGTTTTCTATTTCTAGAATATAGTATTACTGATATAACATAATTCATGTTTCCTTCTTTTATCATTGGGAGTTTAGGTTCCTAATATGAGAGTCATCCCCTCAATTTATGTTGTGATTTATTATGTTCTTTTGGGAGTCGTATGTATGTATGCATGCATGCATGCATGCATGTATGTATCTATATATATATATATATATATAAACACGCTAAACATGTGCAGATCTAAAATTCAATATACTGCCACAAAAGTTTCCAGCACATTTTTCTCCAAGACTATCATGCCGGTTGTATTTTCAAGTGAATTAGAAAAATAATAATATTGGGTTGTCTATTTGATGGTATAAACCTGAGAATTACATTTTCATTCTATTAAGTGACTAAACTCCTCAAGAAATTACTAGCAAACTATTAACAAGCAAGAAACAAATGCTAACAGATTTAATGATGTAAGCTAGAATAACCCAAAAAAAGCAATGAAATCTATAACTAACAACTATATTATGTTCTTACAATGCTTTTCTTTCTTTCAATTGCAAAAAATTAAATTATATGTTCATTTAGATTGCCTAATTGAAAAAAGAAACTTATGCGTGGGGCTGTTAACGATCCGATTTCGAGCATTCACATAATGTTTATTCAATTTCTGAGTTTGTTTATCAAATTATTTATAATAATTTATTTTAATTGTTTGTGCGCATTTTGGTTTGTTGATTCTGCATAACACATAATAATGTTAAAACAAACATGTAAAATCAAATTCCAAACGTTATACAACAACTAAATTAAAAATAAGACTCAAAGCATTCACATAATGTTTATTCAATTTCAGAGTTTGTCTTTTCAAATTATTTATAATAATTTCTTGTAATTGTTTGTGCGCATTTTGGTCTTTTGATTTTACATAACACGTAATAATGTTAAAACAAACATGTAAAATCAAATTCCATACATGTAAATCATAG